ATTTGCCTACACCTATTGGCGGCGCGGGTTAACGCAACGCTCGTAAAGGCCACACAGCTGTCGGCAATATTTAATTGCTGTCAGCAGACGTCGGGCGGGCTCTTGGACCGGCGACTGGGCTGCTGATTTAATTACTTTGTATTTTAATTTAAATGGGTTGAGTCATTAAATACTGCGGATATCAAATTGTTGGTGTGTTGGTTCTCTCTTGGCGTTGCTACGATACACTGTATGCGTAATCTAACATCTTAATAGCTGGCCGTGAAAGGAAGAAGCTTTTAAATTTCGTATTTTTCAGAGTAAAACTAATTTTATACCATTTTCGAATATATTCAGTTTCGTTGAGTCAAGAAGTTTACCGAGCGTAATATTCAACTTAGGTTTTATAATGACAAACTAACAACATTCGAAATAACCTTCAATGAAATTATTTTATTAAGACATTTACGAGGTGTGTTCAAAAGCCAATTTTATTGCGCTGATTCTGCTCAAAATTTTTTTGGTTTGTTGAAAAAATTACAACAAGAGTAGTAGATATAGCTGATATTTTGGATACCACCACCTTTTATGCATTCGACTTCTTTTCATCTTATTCGAATTCGAATCAAATATTGATTTATTTATTAGTCTGCATTGATGTTGTCGCCTTGAATACAGTGCCCACCCTGCGCAAGTGCTTCCTTCCCCCAAAACCCGAATCACTTATCAAACTCCATCTCAATGATGCGCTCTAAATGTTATTTTTGCCTTTAAGCCAACGGCTCTTTAAAATTTCTCTTTGTTGTTGGAAATCGCTAAATTTGTTCAACAATATTCCCCAAGGTTTAGCAGAAGTTGCATGACATGATCCAGTCGCTATACCTACATTTACTCAGTACATAGTAAGTTGCTTACTTAGTTCTTTCGGGATAAGGTATTGCCAGGACTCTATCTTGTTTGGATGGATTTTTCAAATTGTCTCGATTAGGTTCTGTCTGCCTTTATAGTGCTCACCCGTACCTCTACAGAGTAATAAATATGTTTTCGAATACCTTGGAAATTCGTAGTAAACCTAGTTTGACTCTCGCAAAAGCGATTATATTGTGGTTTGAGCTTCGATAGTTTAAAAATCAGTAGTAATTTTTATAACCGCGATGCTTGAGGGCATGAAAGCATATATATGTATATAGGCTTTCTCTAGAGTTCCTTATAAAATAATTGAAACTTTTTATTTGCTTATGTAATTATATCCTATAAACAGGGGTAATTACTCGAACTAAAATCATTTATAGGACAATGGCGCCTGGTTTCCGTTTTAAACTGTCATATTAGAGTGAGAGTAGGCAGGACTCTTACTAGTGACGCTAAATTACAAACTCTCTGTAATATAGTTCGTGATATTTGATAGGTAGCAGATATTTGATAGGCAGCAGAGGGCCTGACTTAATTTAGGTATCAAACTGACGGCATCTCGAATTCGGCTATTTTGGAATTGGTTAAAAGTACGAGTTCCTCCCGAACGATGAAAGTCACTTACAGAGCGACTTATACTGGGAATTAATGTCATCTAGGCCTGTCGAAAATGCAAAAAAGTTCAGGTTCACAAACACTGTTTAGTAATACTTTTTCCAAAAATTGCAAAAAATAGGCTTAGTAATGAAATAAACTGTTGTTTGGTTCGTTTAAAACAGATATGCTCAACTAACGATGTCATTTCGTTTTGCTAACATAAAAATAAACTTAGCGCAGTAATTTCGTTTCCTTTCGGTGTGATGTTATCGAAACGAAATCAAACTGTTAATGCTTAAACTGCACCAACTGATCGTTAACGTTAATTTTAAAATGGCTGCGTGTTATGACATTAACAGTACAATTCAATTTTAACATTTAACATTTTCTGTTAGCGATTTAACATTCCCTGATTTAACATTAACAGCTTTTCGTTTCTTGTAAAATTGATTTAAAATGTATTTTGATAACTGCTTTAACGTTAATATATCAAATCGTTTCAGCCGAATCGACTGTAATTTTTTGATTAACGTGAAATTTATCGTTACGATGCATCCATGACCTAAATCAAAATGTTAGAATAAAAAAAATAATAACCATATTAATTTCTAATACAGTAAAGTACACTATGGGAGAGTGCAAGGCTTCAAAGATCATTTAACATTTTTTTTTAAATGAAAATAGTAATTTATTTAAAATCTGCTTATAAAAAGACCTGCCGAATATTATCTCTCTAACTTAGCTGATAGCTGTGGAACAAAGTTTTTGAAAGTTTTCATTACAAAACAAAAAAAAAACTAAGTAAAAAGAGGCGCCACTGTGAAAAAAAAAAATATTGTATATATATGTATATAATTAGCGCTTTGTAACCGCTGAAGCGATTTTCGACCGAGTTTTGCCCTGAGCTTTCCGAGCATCTCGGCTGTTATGGCACCGACATCAGCACGAATGTTTGCCTTGAGCCCAACAATAGTATGAGGCTGGTTGGCGTAAATCTTGCTTTTCAGATAACCTCACAAAAAGAAGTGCGGAGGGGTTAAATCAGGGGATCTGTTTCGCGTTGTTTCAGTGTGAAGCGATCCATGGCAAAAATTGTACTGAATTTACGTTTTCAAAATATATCAGAGGCAATCGCTCGGTTGGTAAATGTGAAAGTTACTCAGCGTTTACATACCGACATAAAAGATGGAGCTAGCTACCGATTAGATAGCAAAAGAAATAATCGAAAGCATGAAGAAAAATATAATTAGCTAAAACTGTTATAAACGAAGAAAGCTTAGGGACACTCAACGGATTTTTAGAAGGAGTGATGTAGCAGTTAAGACTCGATATTAACTCACCGCATTTTTCCTTCCAAAGCGAGGATTATGTCGGGGTTATCTGCGCAGAGAAGTGACTTCACATAACCCTACAATAAATAGTCCACCGGTGCTAAAGCACATGATCTTGAAGGCCATGCCATAGGCTCACGATAATGTGCTAATCAAAAGTTTCTTTCAGTAAATTCATTGTTTCGTTGGCTTTTTGGCTTGTTGTAACTAAAAGTCCTCTGATTCGTGCACTAAGAAGTCAAAAATCTTGGCTCTTTAGCATTTTCCATTGACTGTAACAACTTGACCGGCTAAATTTTTGAAGATTCATTCCAAAGAATGACTCTTTGAAGATGTAATGGCATTTAAACAATGGCTTGTGAATTATCATGGCTCCGAAAGCGAAAATTTTTTTTTATTAATTTTACAACCAAAAATGAGCTTCATTGTTTGAAAAAAGTTGAGAAAATCAGGCTCGATGACCATCTCGTTTAAAGCCCATTAACCAAACGTACAACGCACTTGATTGTCGATCGGCATTAATTCTTGCATAGGCTGGCTAGGCTTTGTAAATCCACAAACCAAGATCCTTCCGCAAAATCTTCCATTAAGTAGATTGGCACAGCTCTAATTGATGCGCGCGTTGGCAGATAGACTTGTGCGGGTCCTCTTCGATACTCTACTCCGTTTGAGAGCAGCAAAATTTTCTTCGGTACGCATTGTATGACATTTCTGATTATGGGCACTGTTCACTTGAGCAAACGTGATGTAAAATCGGTCCATTGTGGCTCGAATTACAGACTGTACTAGGCGTTTACATCAACCGAAAATTAAACGGGCAATGAGCCGCATCATTATTTTGATAATATTTATTTATTTATTTTATAAACAAAAATATTTATACAATAATTATCTCACTTATGAACTAAAGCAGTGGCTGCTATATCACGATATTCCGAAGTAAGTCGACTCCCTCATGAAACTCCAAGCTAATTTTAGTACCAATGAAATAGTAGGTATCAAAAAGAAAACTGCCTCATTGAAAAGAATACGTCCAAAAAAACACCCTTCAAACCAACTTCTATTGAAGTAAATGAAAAATACACAAACTTTTCTTAATAAATATAGAATACTAAAATATTTCAAACACTTTGAGAGTCTCAGACTTCGTTGTGTGAAGGGTATTTAAGCTCGATTTAAAATGTTCGCCTCTTTTCTTTTCCTGCATTTAAGTTGTATGCCGGTAAATAACTATTTACACAAAGTATTTCTTCATTTTCCTTATGGTTCGGCCATAAAAATTCCCCAAGGAACACTTTCGCTCATTGCCCTTTAGCAATAAGTATATCTGTGTGTATGTATGTATAGTAAATAATGAGCAAGCGAGTAGCCCTCCCTCAGCGGTGTACACAGTTTTGCAATACAACTTCTTCAACTTCTTTAACAGCTCAACCAGGGAACTCCTCAACGTACAAATGGTGTTTGTTTGTTGCAATTGTTGTTGTGAACATTTCATATATTTAAATATAATTGCAAATGTTTGCTATTCCTTTTACTGTTTTTTGTTGTTTTGCCTTTTCGTTTTCACTTGTTTTTGTTTATATTTTTTTATTTTACAACTTCTCGGGTCTCTCTCTCATTCGCCTTTTAATTTCAGGCTTTTTTTTGTTTTTAGCACAAATTTTATTGCCCAACGCTAAGCGTAAACGTTTTATGCGTTACGTACTCGTATTTAACATTTATTATTATTTAAATATAAAAAAAATATTTAAGATTTCCATCAGTTAATAGCTGCTACGCCTACGTACCCACAGCCCGGTGGAGGAGAGGAAGAAGAAGAAGGAGAAGGAGAAAAATTCCATTTAACTACTTTTATATCACTTTTCCATTAAAAGGCCGTAGAGTGTGGCCAGTTTGAGCCACCCGGCATTTGCTCTGCTGTACATATACATATATAAATATATGTATATATATATAGATATATAAATCTGTATATATAAATCTCTACGCCGCTCAATTTTATTCCTTTGCTGCTGCAATAAAAATCTCTGTTGAAAAATGTGTAATTTGTTTACACATAAATATTTGTAATATGCTTCATTTTACCTATAATATCCATACACACATACATACTCGTACACACTTACCCATAAATAAATTTATAACCTCACTTTTTGCTCTTCCTCTTCATTTCATTTACAGTGCGATGAGCCATTATCCGCCGGTGACATTGTGGTCTTTGCTCAACGTGTCGGCTCGCAGATTTGCTGGCATCCTGGTTGTTTCGTTTGTTGTGTTTGCAAGGAATTACTTGTGGATTTGATTTATTTTCATCGTGATGGCAATCTTTATTGTGGCAGACATCATGCCGAGACGCAGAAGCCGCGTTGCTCCGCTTGTGATGAGGTACATATATTTGCGAATGCTTAGACATATCTATATATTTATTTAGAAGGTAACGCCTTGCTGGCGCTGCTTGCATTTCTTTAGCCTTGACTTTCTGTGTTTTGTGGAATTTTTATTTGGTTTTGTTGACTTTTCTCAATTTACTTAAAATGTCTTTTCGCACTGGCTTACATCTTAAGCTTATTAGAGTCAGTTTTTGGATATCTGTTGGTTTGTCAATTTACTCTCTCAGGTGACGTGGCTGGGCGCACACAATACTTAATTTGCTCTGTCTGACTTGAGACTCACTCAAGTCGAATCTGGACACTTTGCAAAAGTTGCTGGGTTCGTATTGTGTTTAAAACGGATTCAGATGTAGAGCACTGATTCTTTTATATTGTTTAGCTTACTCTGCTAGGACATTTGGTATACTCGTATTACCAAGTAATCCTTTTAGTTAAACCATATTGTTTTGCGGTGTGCATCCTTAATGTGCTTCCAATAGATGTAGTGACCTACAGTTCATTCTAAGCCGCCTCTAAACGGCCAATGGTTTATCAAGAGACGCCTCTAAATTATGCCAGAAATACACTCGGAGAGCGTGGCATACCAAGCCGAGGGGCGTTCGCAATAAAAGAAAAATAATATTGATTTTGAAATGTGTCTGTGGAGTACTTGTAGTGACGTTTGAATAGATATGAATTTAACATTCTTGCCATTCGACCAAAATTACATGACTTTTACGAAGCCACTGCGGTTCTTTGTCAGCTGTATAGTGTAGTTCAAAGACCAATCATCTTTTACGATTTTTTTATACAATTCTTTTCTGTCAGTTAGGGATGCCTAGTGAACATAGGAGGTTTTCCGCGTGATCTTTCCTACAGACTGATGGCGTTTCTCTAACTTTTTCGCTAAATTACATCAGCTTTTGTGATTCTGAACTGGTTTGTTGCACAAAATTTGTTACTGTCACTCGTTGAGCTGAAGACACGAATGGACTGAATGTTTGTCTGATATCCTCGCTCTCGTTAAAGCTATTCGCCACTTTTTTTAGTCTAGGGAAGCCAGCCCTCTATCCTCAGTAGTTTCTCTAGCATTAACTGAAAGAAGACGCGCGTTATAATGAAATCTCTTTTGGTTCCATGCCATCTTACTCCATGGTGCTTTGGACCACGACCAGCAAAATCTATTACAGAAAACCACTAGAACAAATACTATAGTTCACTCAGAAATTGAAAGTTGAGAACCTTTCTAACGGATGTAGACGTAAAATTCTTCAACCTAACGAAATCCCCTATGGGATTGGTGGGGTTAGGTAAATCTTCATCTAAAACCCGTGAGCATAGCTAAATAAACAAGAAAATGGTGGACAAAGTAGAGCAAATTTACCCATACTCTGCTAGTGTATGGAAAAGGAGTGGTTAAGGCATATCAAAAGAAGTCCGAAGGGGAAGATATATGCGAGTTCGTAACGACGGACGATTCCAAAGTGGCTAAGTAAACGCCGGTATCTGTTACGCTGAGCTAAATATCAAACTATTTTTCAAACTTTCGGATTAGTGCAGAATTTTGCTAACACTACAGGAAACCATATGAAAAACATTAACATGTAAGTGAATGAAGGTTGGTACTGGGTTCCAAGCCACAAAAGTATTACGGAGAACGAAATAGTTGATGAGGTTATCTAACTGCTGACCGAGTCGGTAAATAATGTACGAAAGTCAATAAATTCTTTGGGCAATGAAATTCCTAGGTATTGTAGCTGTGATAAAGGGAGATTAAATGCCCTAACGGCAGCGAAGACCACTAAATCTCAAAAAGACTGTTACGGCAGTTGTGGAGCTTGCGGTATAGCATCACGCGAGTAGCATTGTTCTTCTGTTGCTGTCACAACTTATCTCGAACTCATCTTAGAATTCTAGCAGAGGACTAGAGGATGTTTCGAAACTGGATATCAAAGATTTATTAAACTTCTCCAAAGTCTTTGATAACTTGGTTTAAATTGAACTTCCATCTGTCACTACCAAAAAGAAGCATAACCTATCGTTTTTGGGAGAAGCGACTGCCGTTTCTTGCTTCGCTTATGGTTCAAGCAGGTCTTTTACTGGTGATTATTTTACACTATTTGGCGCAGAAGATAATTCTTGAATGTCGAATTTAACAGACTCATCTCAAGATAATTTAGGAAAACAGCGGGTCGCTCTTCTTATGTACTGGGAAAAGCACCCACAATGACATCACGGAAAGACTGAGCTTTTCTCCATTGAAATAACGAAATTTAGTTGATTTGGAACACAGGCACTCAGCCTGATCAATTTTTTGTAGAAGGTAGAACTTTCGGTACAACGCAGCAACGAACTCGGCATCTTTATATTTATTATGTTTAGTTAGAATATAAGCCTTAATGTATTTCACATTCCGAATTAGTTAATTTAAAGTTTTAACTGAGGGCCTACGAAGATAGAAAAAAACTTCGGGATGACCATGGCACATCGATAGAGGGTCGAACTTCATCTCACGTCAATGAAGGCACGTTTCTTCTTAACTTCGTACTTTCTTGCATTGAGAACCACTTTAACTGGGACTTATTAACCAAGTGGAGTTTTTGTGAAGTCTCTATGCATCATGTATGGGATTCTGTGGATTCTAACTCAGCTCTTCTTCGCGGTACTCATTATGCTGGTGGTGTTTTGAGGTAGTTTTTTGGAAACCTCCACTACTTTTTTCAAACTTTCCTTTACAACAACTGTTATGTGAGTTTGTTAGTATTCATGCAGAAACCAATTAAGTGAAATGAGCTTTAAAATTGGAATCAAAAAACAGTGTACTATCTTTTCTAAACAATTGATTTATTAAAATATTTACTTTTGCTCTATGTTTCCCATTCTAGATAATCTTTTCGGATGAATGCACCGAAGCGGAAGGTCGCACCTGGCACATGAAACACTTCGCTTGCTTTGAATGCGAACACCAGCTCGGCGGACAGCGTTACATCATGCGTGACGGCAAGCCCTACTGTCTCGGCTGCTTCGATACCATGTTCGCTGAGTACTGCGACTACTGTGGCGAGGTGATTGGCGTCGATCAGGGACAGATGAGTCATGACGGCCAGCATTGGCATGCAACGGATCAATGCTTTTCGTGTTGCACTTGCCGCTGCTCGTTGTTGGGTAGACCTTTTCTACCTAGACGTGGCACAATTTACTGTTCGATCGCATGCAGTAAAGGTGAGCCACCCACACCGTCTGACACCAGTTCGGGACCACAATTGCGGCCAACACACCGCGCCAGCACAACGAGTCAAATTGCGCGTTCGCCGCGACCGGGTGCCCGACATAAAGGGAATAATGGGAATGGTGCAGGCGGTAGCAATGCTAAGAGTGCCGGAAGTGCTGGTGATCTATTGGAGAGACAAGCACGTCAGCGAATGGAAGTAGGCATTGATCGACTGATGATTGTGGGCAAGCTGGCGGCGGATTGTGAGGCAATGATGCCACCACTGCCCGGTATGCCACGACCAGCGCATCCACCGCCAATAGACCTAACAGAGCTCGGCATAAGTTTGGACAACATCTGCGCGGGCGATAAATCCATTTTTGGTGATCCCAGCAATATCACATCCTCGCTACCCGATATGCTATTGTCGAAGGGTGAGGATTCGCATAGTTATCAGAGCATTGACAAGATCAACATAAATTCGCCGAGTGCGTCGGAGCTGACGCAAAGTACGCAAGAGATCACCAACGAACTGGAAGTGGAAAACGACAACGAAGACTGTGAACTGCCACACGACAATTACGAAAAACTCCTGAAGACAAAGCGTACGCGCACGCACAAATCCGATGTAGATAATGAATGCGGTCCCGCTGACGTCGACGATGATGATGATGACGACGATGAAGACCACAGTGACGCAGCAGAGGATGAGGATAATATGCGTCCACACCTGAAAGAGGTACGCTTTCACAGCGTACACGACACTATGTCCCGCTCGAAGAGCTACACGGACAGCACAAATGCGCGTCGACGACGTAGAAGACGCAATCAATCACGCAGTTCGTCAGAAATGCAAATCAACCAGGCCAATCTACGACTGCACAATGCACAAACGAATGCTGCAACCCTGCGCGACAACAAACTCGACAACTGCGACGCGGCAAGCGTCTGCTCCACCTGTTCGTCCAGTTCGTCGAGCGATATGGATGACTATTTGTATCGCATACCTGCGCGTAGGCATTACGGCGGCGTGCGCGTGTCCTATGTGCCGAACGATGCGATTGCATACGAACGGAAACGCAAACAGGCAGCAAGCGAACAGCAACTAGGTAGCGGAGGTGGTGGTGCAAATTCCATGATTGGCAGCACCTCTATGTCAATGACAACATCAGCTAGTGCTGCAACGAGTGGTGGTGATACGAAGAATTGTATAATTTCATGACAGCCTCCAATTTTACCGCCGCCACCGCTAAGCCTTGGCAGTTACTATATACTAGATACGATATTGGAGGAACAACGTTTGGTGGTGGAGGAGAAGCGACCTGGTTGTTTGCGACGCGTTTGGCGTATGTTTACCACGCGCGGTAAGGGCAAACAGGTAGGCGCAGAGATGCAAAGCGTGTAAGGGGAGAGAGCGGGTTTCAGAAACGAGCGCGAAGTAAACTAAAAGAGGTTGAGATATATTTGCAAAAAAAGGGGGGAATTCGAAGAACTATTTTAGAAGATCACGATTTTGTTTATTAAAATTCACTCAAATCAAGTCCGGACATAAACCAAATATGGTTCTGATCTTTGCTAATTGTGCGTTCTTCTATCACTTGCTTATTGACCAATGAGCGCTCTTATTTGTTTTTTTTTTTTCTTATATAATTTGAACTATGATAACTAAAGAAAAAAAATATATAAATAAAAATTGAAATAAAAATGTACCACAAAACTAATTTGTAAATTATTCATGGTTGACATCTCATTTATAAGGGTTGTAAAAAAATATTAATCATAGGGAGCACTTTACTCTCTGTATATATGTAGTACGAAGCACTGAAGAACTTCCATATCGTAGTTTTAGCTGTAAAAATAGTAACTAAAACCGAAACACATATTAAACGAAACCTTGTACAAGTAACGAATATCCATTTACATATACATACATACATTATATATTATATATTTTATGTTTAAGAGTGTAGCAGTTAAGTGTATGTCCGTATTTTATGATATATTATATAAATATTATTATTTACAACAATTATTAAGAACTTGCACAAAATTTATATTTAATTTAAGTATATATTAAAAAATTAATATACAAAAATTAAAAAACAATAAATTAAGTGTTTTATTCATGGTAGGCAAGAAAAAAAAGAACAAAGAATAGAAAATATTGAAAAACAGTAAAAAAATATTGCATCTCTTTTATTCTTTTTTAATGAATAAAATTCAAAGCGAAAGCCCCTCCAACTCAAAGGAGTTGCCTTTCAATATCAAAATTTTGTACATACAGTATTTTCCATTTGTCAGTTTTAAAAATATATGCATTGATAATAATTTTTTTCATGAAATTCCCTACTGATATTGCAGTTTCAATCTCCGCTTATATGGGAAACACCACGTCATTCACGCCTCGCGATGTTATACAAACTTCTATCCTTGTAAGGTAATTTTCGACCACTTTTTGGCACATATTGTCCAGGAACTCAGCCATAACTTTTGGATTTCTAATGCTCAAGAGGTAAAGGTTTACCCGCATAAACATGGTATTTCATGTAGTATCACAAAGCAAATTCAAAGCTGCGAAATTGTACGAGCTCGGTGGGCCATCTTTTTGAAACCACATATTGTCCAAGTCTCGCCGGTGTCGCGTTCAAAGATACCTTTGACCCAGGCAGAAAATTTCTTTGTGTAATCTCTATACATCTATTAAAGGATTCTCGGAGGTACACATGTTATAATTTTGCTTATGGGCACCCCGAGTAGAAAACGTGCTTCGTCGTTGAAGACATTTTTTTTTCGAAAATCGGTGTCCACTGCTTGTTGTTCCAGCACCCGATCGACGTATGTGCGGTGTTTTGATTGGTCAGTTGGTTTCGGTTGTAGTGTGAGCTGGACCTTATATGGATGCGAGTGTGAGTTTCAACCCAAAATACTCTATAATGTGCTCTTAAATAAATATACACATCTGGAATAGACTCATGTGTCATAGGTACCGTAGTGAATTTGGTAGCTGTCACCAATACAGTCTCTTTAAAAAATAATATGAAATAAAAGAAAACCAAATAAAATTAAATGAAAAATAATATAAATAAAAATCAGATAAAATAACATAAAATAAAATAAGAAAAGTTAAATTAAAAAAATTAAAGTAAATTAAAGTAAATAGAACAAAACAAAATTAAATAAAATAATAAAATATGAAATAATTTAAAATTAACCTAAATTAAGTAAAATAAAACAAACTAAAATTAAAAAAAAAAGTTTGTAAAATTAAATAAAATTAAATTAAATATATCAAAATGAAATAAAATAACTTAAAACAAAATAATATAATATAAATAAAAATAACATCGAATAAATAATAAAGTTAAAAAATTATTAGAAATAAGAAAAATTTAATTAAAATAAATTTTTTTAAATTAAAATAAATTAAATTAAATACAATAAAATAATATATAGTGAAATAAAATAAATTAATATAAACAAAATGAAATAAAATTAAATAAATTAATAAAAAATAAAATAAAAAAATTAAATAAAATAAAATTAAATTTAATAGAATTGAGTTAAATAAAATGCAACAAAATAAATAGAAGAATAAAATAAATAAAAAGTAAAGTTAAACAAAATATGTTGAAATGGAATAAAACAAAACAACAACGAAAAAGTTAGATCAAATTTTGCACCTCTTCATGTGAAGTGATCCACTAAAGATTTCCCATTTATTTATATCTTTTTAATGTGGGATCCTTTTTTTATTTTATCTGAAGTGACAAAAGTGTTAAAAACAAATTATTTTACAAGAAAACAATGGTATCTTTGTACACCAGCTTTTGATCCAAAATGAAAATATACATATATCGGGTATACCAAAATCTTCTTTAGGTGCGATTATTCCAGAATATCTCCTTAAACGAAAATCAATCAATAAAGGAAAAATAACAAATTTAATATGAAAGCGCGTAGTAGAGAAATAGTAAAAACTTCAATCGAAGCACAAAAAAAAATTAATACTAAAGCAAGTCTTCTGGTAAAAAAATAAATTTATTATTACAAATGTTTGCCTTTCTTTATTATTATTTTTTTTTCTTTGGCAGTGAAGCATGTCTCGTATGAGGTTTCATAGTAAAAGAAATAAAAAAAATATTCCTTTAACAAGTCGTAATAATAGAGCTGTTAACAACAATGAAGCACAAAAAGTGCAAAAAGCAAACAAACAACGCACAAAATAAACACACATACAAACAAACTTCCAAAACAGAACAATAAATAAACTAAGATGTAATGGAAATAATGCTATAAATTCTACATATATATGTATGTATATAAAAGTATGTAAATAAATAGATGAAGATGGTGAGAAAAGAAAATAAAAATTTGTTTATTTGTATATTATTATTTTTATTTAGTTGTAAATATCAACTGAGGCACAGAAAATATAGCTCAAGGCTAAATGAAAAGAAAATTACAAAATAAAAACGTCTGAAGAATTCTCAATTTATTTTTTTAATTTAATTTTTTTATGTTTTGAGTCGATTTACTAATGCATTGCTGTAATGGAAAAATTTTTGATTTACATATATTTTTACATTTTCTTTGTTGAACTCCTTCCTATAAAAAATTTATTTATTTTATTATTAAAAACGAATATAAATTAAATTAATGTCTTAGTAAAAATTTCACCAAATTTTATTTTGCTATTTTGTTATATTTTTTTTTTAATTTCCATATTTATTTTTTAATCACTTTCACTACAAAACTTTCATTCCACTCATTAATATTAAGAATTAAAAGCATCAATTTTATATTTTGAATTAATTAAGGTGTTTATTGTTGACAAAAATATTTTTCATATAATAAATACTTTTTCTTTATTAAATCCATTTTTTTTCAAAGCCGCAAAAAAACTTTGCAAACGCTCTAACATACAACGATAACAATGGAATAGTTTTATAAAGAAAAGAGATTCAAATAATGGAGTAATCAAAGCATAATCCAGCCGAACTGTCTTTTAACTGATTTAATAAAATATCACATCATCGCCACATTCAAATTTTTTGTAAAGAAAGTGACAAATTTATAATTTATAATTTTTTTGCAATTCTTTTGATGAAAGAAAATATTTATAAATCATTTCGGTATATGTTAAAATATATTTAAATATGGCAATGGCTTGCGAGAAATTTCACCAACAATATTATTATATATAATCTCCATGAATATACGAATGTATGCTTTTTTCACACATATTCTATTGTTTAATGCCTTTCAGAAAGCGAAAACCAAATTTCGCCATTTATGCACTAGTATTTTGTTTTCTCTTAAAAAAAGCGATTAATTCATACTTTTATATTCATTATTATTTTTTTGACAATTTTACTTTCATTTTCTACTAAAGAAATTTAATGGTTTTTAGCATAAAACCCTCAAAACGAATACCCGTGGTAGTGATTGTTATTATTAAGTGATTATCATCCAAAAGAGATGTAAATGAAATGTAAATTAGTATAAATGTTAAATACATACATAGATGTATGTAGTATATACTTTTACACTTACATATTTAATGTAGATCTAACTGTAATAACCATGTTTTTTGTAAATTGTGAAAACTAATGTGACTAAGATGAATTTTTATGTAGCTATTTTAAGTATATCATTATTGAATAATGCAATAAAAGAAAATAAAATTTAATAAAACAAATATTGTTTTTTAAAAATAAATTTTTTCCTTTTTTTTAAATTTTTTTTATAATAATTTTTTTATAAAATTACTCGAATTTATCAAAACAATTTGTAGAGCATAAAGAGGTAATAGAGCGACTAACGCCCAGAATTTACTGAACTCATTGCGGGAAGACTTCTCCAGTCAGTTGAATGTCAGTAGTGAGATGGTGAGAGCCCGATCTCCCAGATAATGAAGTGCTGACAAGGTGCATTCCTCAGCATCTTCGCATAATATGTCCGGCGATCGGTACCCAAATGTATTCATTCAATCCCTAAAAAGGGATATCCTATAGTCTATGAAAATTAACGAGTGTATTGTGTGAAAGAAGCCTACCGCCAACAAGCTTACTTGGCTTATGGACCTTAATAATCGCGGTAAATACGTGATAGCGTGCCATTCATTCCTTCTTTTCGCAGTTTGGCGCCAATTCGAAATACCAAGTACAGCCAGGTTCTTTTCTACCTGGTCTTTCCAGCGGAGTGGAGGTCTTCCTTTTCTTCTGCTACCACCGGCTGGTACAACATCGGCAACTTTTAAAGCTTGAGTATTCTTAATCAGCGGAGCTGTTACCGTATATTACTCATAGCTTATTGTTCTAGTTGCAGTTTTTGTCCGTCCTTTTTTCCTTTTTTTTCAAAAACTTCTAACACCGACCTATCAGACCTTGTTATCATGGATATGCCACCGCACCATATACATAGCTATGTACGGGAATGAGAAGCGACTTGAAGAGTTTGGTCTTCGCTAGTCTAAGAGTCTGAAATTGTTGTTGGCGTTAATACTGGTTCCAAAATAGACGAAGTTGTCTACGACCTCAATATTGTGGCTGTCAACAGAGACGTGCGAGCCGAGTCGCGAATGCGATGACTGTTTGATGGGAGATATTTCGTCTTGTCGCACGTCTGAAAACTCATTCTAAACTGGCCCCGAATGGGTAACTTAATAGCTCATGACAGAAATACCCCCAGTC